ACCCGCATGGAAACATGGACATAGAAGCTAATGAAAGAAATTATAACTTGCACAAATACAGAATTTTCCATTTCTTTTCAATCTTTGCCTAAGAATTTAAGCAGCATGTCTGCTTGTTGTTACTGAAACCCTGCAGAGAAAAAAAAACGTTGATGAGATATGTAATTATAGTGAAGTGAGCAGCAACAAGCGGTGTGATTCAGCACAGATTGGTGTCTAAGAATCTTGATAAGCACTCTGCTCTTAATTAGCTCTCTGGATGCCGCTGCTGTTGAAAACCCTGAGATTGCGAACCGAGAGGATTGTTGTTGTTCTGGAGCTTATCTTTGGTAATGAACAAGCATGAAAATGCTTTTGGCAAAACCTCCACAAGAAGTCATACGAATTTGGTGTTTACCAAGGCATTTGGGTGGCAAGGTTTTATGAGTGATTCATACAGCGGATGCCCTTTAGAATTAAATTAAATGGCATCACATTCTGTGTCGGCACGCGCTGTAAACCATTGTTCAGCTTGCAGCAATGACAGCAGAGCAGCAGCCTGGACTTCGATTTGAAAACCATTTGTTTGGCAAAATGGGGGCTACAGAAATTTAAAGTTTATTTTTATATTGAAACATTTCTGTGAAATGACGAATCCCCATGATAAAAAATGCTTCCAGAAATATCATGCTCTTAGGGCTTTGATTTCTTTGCAACCTGAAGCCATGTTATAATGCGAGCTGGAAATTAATATGGTTTAATGAAATGTTACATTAACACACGACAATGAGTCATTCAAGTGCATCGTAAATTTATCAAACCTGACCCCACAGATTGCACGACTGGCTAACTGCTTTCCTCAAAGATGAAATTAACTTCTTCACTGTAAATAATCAAAGCTCCGCCATTAATGGCCAAATTCTTCCCAGGCTCTAATGAACTCTGTGGGAAGGTACTTAATTGGATTAGAGAGTGGTTAATTGGATTAGTGAGTGATTTACACTCATTCATAGAAGGCAGGGATGATAAGACCACAGGGTGGTGACTGATTCATTTTAATATCTTTACACCTTCTCTTTTATATTGCAAAAATATTTCTGTTTAAGAAAAAAATAGAAAAATGCCTTTTTAAAACAACAAAATTAAATACAAGCACAGTACTAATCACGTATATTCTTTAAACAAATCATAAGGCTTGTCAAATCTTAATGAAGCCCTAACATATAATACTTTAATCAAACTGCCAACCAAATATGTTCTGAGTCACATCAATTCACCCAGAGCCCTGATGATTTCTTCATATAAGACTGGGACTTGTGTCTCTCAGTGACTCGCTGCCTCTGATGGTATCTTAATTGCAGCACACTCAAAGCTGAAAATACAGAATGCTGCTTTGATCAGAATGGAATGTAGAGTTAGGATAGCTGAGGATAGCTGATACAAGTACTTGTCTTTCCACCATCCCTCAGTGCAGGTCCAGGATAAGGTCTGCAATCAGTATGCACGAGAGATTTTTAACCAGCATAAAAACGTTTCGGAATCAATTTTTAATAGTTACGGAGTGCTTCAGAATGATCATCCATTAACACCAGACCTAGATCTATTGTAATCATAATGCTTTTAAAGTAATTTTTTATCCCTTTTCTATTAATCATAGTAAGACTACCCTCCCACCACAATGATAGAACTTTCTGAAGGCTGAAAGGATTCTTAAATTCTTAAGTGTTTATATATTATGTCCTGCACATTGGTGATATTTACAGTATAAGCCTAGTATTTAAAAGAAAGATAACACTGTGAGCATTTCTGCAAATATGGGTATAGGAAAGTCAAACACTGTCAAACCACTGCTTGAATTATATTAAATAATCTATGCAAGTTTAGCAAAAAAACATCCAGTATATGATGTACAAAATTGGATTTAATTATAGTTATTTATAATATTTTAATGTAAACAGTAACACCTTTCCAAGAATTCAGAAAACAGCACTGCGTGGCATGAATTTCTTCATCAATTAAAGACTTCTTTTTTACTAATCAGCAAGCAAGATTATTTTCATGTAGAACAGAGATACAATGAAGAATCACCCTGCAGCATCCCTGTAATTTGAAGATGCGTATGTGTTAAAATTGGCTTTTTTCACCTTGACTATCTTTCTAAATCAGTTTCCAAAGCTACTACCTTGGATAGAGATCATTAAACGGAAAAAAAATGATTCTTTCATTAAGTTTCCTCCCCTGAAATACAGTAAACGGAAAAAAAATGATTCTTTCATTAAGTTTCCTCCCCTGAAATACAGTTAGATACCCTACAGAATTTTCACTTTTCTTAATTATGGAAAACATGTACCTCTTGCATTTTCATTGACCTTTTTAACTGCATACAATATTCTTTTCTCTGTCTTGTAAACAAATTATTCTCACATTGTAAACATTAGACATTCAATTGCACTTTGTGCTGAGATTCAGAACTTTAGTTTTACTGTTTCTGTTCTGGATAAACGCATATCCCTCTGCACCTCATTTTAAAAATATAGCCTGTCTTTGCTCACCCCACCTGGATGATGCGACGGCAGCCATAGTGCGCCAGAACGCTCAACACACATCAGCTATCAGTGGAGAGGAGAGCAGCGTAATGAAGCCAATTCATAGATGGGGATTATTAGGAGCCCATGATTGGTAAGGGCCAATGGGAAATTTGGCCAGGACGCCGGGGTTACACCCCTACTCTTTTCAAGAAACACCCTGGGATTTTTAATGACCACAGAGAGTCAGGACCTCTGTCTCTGAAGATGATTAGAGTCTACTAGATGAACTGTCAAACAAAGCAGAACCTTTTTCTTAAACCTTGGAGATGAGAAAAAAAACAAACCACAACAGCAATTCAATTCTTTCATATGGAAAACTCAGACCTCAAGAATGTTACACTACATATTACATTCGATGCTGGGAACAATTCTGGAAAACTAAAATATGAAATGAAGTCATTACAAGGCAGGCATGCACTGTGGTACAGGAAGAAAATATCACAAGCATGTTCAAATCAAGATGGAAGCTAAAGTTCGGCTTTTTTTGAGATGGTGACGGCAGCTAGATACACATATTTGCATACCAGTAATATCACTTGTAAAATGGAGACATACACATTCTTAACAAAACATAGCTTTAATGGCTGAACTGAATATCTTTTGGGCTTACGACAATCCACTCACAATAGATGCTCTATTAGAGTAACATGTTTACCTTGTAATCACATCACTACAAAATATAACAAAGATGCTGCCATCAGTAACAGGGGATGTCTGTTACATGATCATGTGCAAGAATATTTTAAAATGAACGGCAAGAAACAGAAAGCAGAAAATAACTAAGATGATGCTACTGTCACACGGTGGTCATGCTTCTGCGTATTTTCAGCAGGATGGTTCAGATTTGAATTAATCTTCAGAGAGCCCTGCCACTCAGCAGTCAACTGAAGATTATTACGGGAATATCTGGCTTTGACATCAGCCCGTCGTCAATCTGTGTGGCCTCCTCACTAGAGCTTTTCCACTAGTTCATTAGCTCAAAAGTGCATTTTAAATTGCAGCTAAACCCAAACAAGTGATGCTTTATTGAATCCTCTACATGACTAAATGAGCATTTTTAAAGCTTCAGATGACTCAGTGTCTCTCACAGCAATGTCACACGTTTCTAAGGAAGACAAATGACTCAGAAGACCATTCCTAAGAGTGAAGGAGTAACCAACCAGTAAGTGTGACCAGCTCTGTGCTCACTCACCTACCAACCTCTCCTGGGCACCAGTCACACAACCTTCTGCTACTATTACCATTCAGCTTCTGGAAACATCTGGAAATAAATGACATCTTATTTTATTTTTAAAACTTAGCAAAAACGTGACATTTTGGCCTCCTCACCTTTTTTGATCACTAATGGACTCATCATTGACAGCTTTCCATTCTGAATCGTGTGGCATTTAATTGTCTTAAGATAACCTTTTTTAGCCAAAGCACAATATAAATGCAATTAATAACAGATTAAGTTTTATTTTCATTTTCAAAAAGAGAAAAGATTTAAGTTTTGTTTAATACACTCATTGCTCCTACAAAGGACCTGACTTCCTTGCCATTGCCTCAATATAGCTCATGAAACCAAAATGTTAAGCTTGTTGTTAACAGGGACTCCATGACGGACGGAATGGTGGCTAAAGACCTGTGCCCGTGACTGGAAGGTTGCCGGTTCAAATCCTGCGGCCGACAGAGGAATCCTACTCTGTTGGACCCCTGAGCAAGGCCCTTAACCCCAACTGCTCCAGGGGCACTGTACAATGGCTGACCCTGCGCTCTGACCCCAAGCTTCTCTCCCTGTCTGTGTCTCCATGGAGAAAAGCTGGGGTATGTGAAAAGATGAATTTCTAATGCAAGAAATTGTACAGGGCTAATAAAGAAACATTATTATTATTGTTTCCCGTTGACTAAGAGTCCTCCAGCTGCTTGGGTAATTCACCAAGTAACCACACACATGTTCTGCACTGCAACAGTCTAAAACAGAACATCCCTATGCACCCCTTCCTGGTGTATTGAAGAAAACTTCAGATCTTAAAAGCAGGGATCCATCTGCAGACTGCAGACCATTTCATGACTGGGCTAGCAAATAAAAGCCCATTTTGACGCATATTGGCAGTTTTCCTGAAATGTGCCCAGCGCCTGATATTACTTAATGTCCTTTAGAGATTAACTCGGTGAAGGCTGATAATTACTGAGCAATGGAAAATCATTTCTTCCTCCATTTCATTCACCTCATTTATCACGGAAGAAGCCTAAGGCTTCGACTGCAGATGTGAACGTGATTACATAAAAAAAAATCTTACAATTATATTATATAAGCTTGTGGTGAAAAAGTCATGTGTCAAATGTAAAGGCTAGGGTTATATTCATATTTTTGATGTTTTCATCATGAAGAGAAAACACTGCACTGCGTAAAATCAGTCATGATTTATTTTCTACACTGAGCAGCAAAGATTCTCCATTCTAAAACACCCTGATAACATGTCTGTGCTGCATAGTGCTAACCTTTTAAGGTTATTTTGTATATTGTCTGACTCTCAGAAAATAAGACAGTTGAAAGCTTTTCAGGACACTCATAGATGAACAAGCAGTAGAGACGCTTCACAGCGGCAGACTGGTTTCATCTGAACTGGGACTCTTCAGAGCCACGTCTGGGCTGCATCCTGGTTGCTGTCTTTCAGATAGCAGCTCCAGCCACTCCTGAGGCTGAAAGCAACACATGAAAGACAAACATCAGGATGCCCCCTGCAAGCTGCTAAGATTAATCAAACCTAAAAGAAAGAAGTAAATGCAGCAATGGAATAATCCTTACAAAACTGTGGAGAAGTTATACTGAATTGGCTGTTGCAGTTTGACTTTTTAAACTACTGCACCCATCTGTGCAGAATAGCTCTGGATGTCCTTATTATTAATTTCCAGATTTCCAATTGTTTCAGTGTGATGTCAACTTTAACCTTACTAACTGCTTTCTTTCTTGTTCATTAAATTTGAAGGAAGTAAAACAACCACAGTTCAGTTTCTAAGCTGTAAGTGACAATGTTATCTTCTTACTATCTTATTATTATTAATTGCTACATTTGTGGAGAGGGTCGGTAGAATCACCTGTCACTTCTGCACAAAACAATGTGACATTAAAAGGTGAGGAAATGTAATGAAAAAATAAACTACTAGGTGTTCAAAATCCAAGCTTTTAACACTGGAGCTGGAAATTGCACTTCTGTACGTGATGTTACAAATGGGAAGTGTGACTTTTAAAACCATAAGGGAAAAAATGCAAACAGTAAGGGCAGATTTGATTCTGCTGCAATGGATACCTAGCCTTGTGTGTGAGGACTGCTGGTGCTCACGCTGGCATGTACATGTTCTCTGGGTCCTGTTCCATTGGGAAGGCCAGCAGTCTGAAGACACCTGGCTGCAGGAGAGGAAAGCTACAAAACAGATGCTGCAGCTGTTTTTATTTGCGAACTTCAGAGTGTTGTCTGTTTCTTTTACAGTGCCGACAGAGGTCATGTAGCACAATTAATATATCCAGCTCTGGGGCACGAGTTAATGTGACACCTGTGCCCAAAGCAGGATCTTTCAGAGGTGTTTGTTTTACACTTTAGGAGAAAGGAATTATTACACAACACCTGCATGAACTTCAGATCAGCACTTCCACCTGTAAAACAGTATTTAATCTGGCCTTCTGTGATTATCGAGTTTTATTTTTTACATTTTGCCAGATACTGCCTTTCTAGTCAGGGCGATAATTGCTCTTACAGCAACACTAGCCAACATGTAGCTTTGCAGCGATTAATTCAATAATTGATTTAGGTGCTGCCCAGCATTGTATAGGCATTGTCCCATTGGTAATGGAAAGTGATATTTGTACATGCAAACTCTCGATTTTGTTAATGTAAAATAGCAGGTGTTTTCAGCTTGCATTGTGTTTCCAAGACTGCAATTCTGAAATACAAATATAAAAGCTGTGGACAAGAGCCAAACCGAGGATAGGCATCGCTCCCTCCAAAAACATCTGGTCTGCAGCTGCCTGGCCAGACAGACCTGGTTGGGCTGAGCTGGGTTTGTTACCTTGGTCAAGCACTATTAATTTCCTGTCACATTCCTGTTTAGTATGTTGTTCATGTAGCTTGTATCAAACTAGAAGACAATATGAGAAAAACACTTTCATATTTTCTCAAGCTAAATGATTGAAATCCCTCAATTTGTGACTTTGAGGAAAACAACAAACTGCAGTCCTCAGGGGGCCAGGATTTTCGACCTCAGTTTCCAATCAAGGTCAAAAGTAGCATCGACTGGACAAAGGCTTAATCTAAAGAGTGGTCAGAGGACTCTCAGAATTCTTGGAAGTGATACTTCCTAAGTTTCTGCAGGATGTCTAATTAAATATTAATTAACCTGAATATAACACAAACTGCAGCGCTTACAAGACAAACCTGAGAATTACATGGGGAACATTAAGAATTATTCTGTCAATTTATTGCTACAAATTGTAAACTTTAAGAACCATAGAAGGAAATATTTTACAGATGTCACTTCAGGCTCATAATGTTGGGTCCTGTTGCTTACTGTGTGTAGGGTGGTCTGGTCTTCTCGTAAAAAGGCACATTTGTTTTAGTGGTTTTCAACGTGTTTCACAATGTTTGTGGGAACCAGAATGCTAATTATCCAAATTATATTATTTGAAGCCTTGAGCTATTTTTCCAAGGCGGGAAACGATAACCTTCAAAACAAGACATTTTTAAGGTGAGAGCCAACCACACGGGTTGGGCAAAGGGCTTCTTCTGGAGAGAAAGAGATCTTGAAAACCTAAGAGCCTGAGAAACATTTTAACTTCGTACTGCCTTTTAATATGTTGACATTAGAAGAATAAACACCCCTGATTTTTTCCTGTACCCCTGAAACGATGAATGTCTCTTCATTGCAGAATTTTCATTGCATTGGCAAGTAAACACAAGGGAGGCAGATGAAAGTGTCTTTAAAAGTCTCTGCTTTATTGATGACTCCACACCTCCCTAGCTTGCAGCTCTTCAGGATTGATGGTGAATATTGGAGAAAGGACAAGGACTCAAAGCAGGATCAATAATGTGATGTACCTCCTGAATATTCACTTTGTCACTGGAAACCAGCCTCCATCTCCTCCTCCTCTGTGCATGTGAATCCTTGTCTCATCACACCTCACTCACGCAAATGTGTCCAAACAGCCGCAAGGGCCAGGCAATGGAGATTAAATAAAAATATTAAGGGCCCAAATACTCCTGGAACCGAACTGCAACTTTAGTATTACACTAAAATACACAGCATTACAAAGGTGTAGTGATTTACTTCCCCAAGCTAAAATATCTCTAGAATCATAGGAATAAGACCAGATATAATGGAGTCCGTATGGTAACTACAGTTGCAAGAATCTGCATTTACCTATCTGGTTTTTAGGATTATTTAAAATCAAAATGTCTGTGTACTTATACAACTGTACAGTGGAGAAACTCTACATCACATTTAGTACATGCATTATATATACACATTAAACAATGTAGTCTTCAGACTACAAATGGCAATGCCAGCACCTATGATCTCATGATGTATGGATAATGTGCAAACTGAAATCTTACAGAAAAGGGGTCAGTGGATGTAGACTGTTTCTAAGTATAATACATGTTAGTCAGAATGATAAACTCTGAAGCAGAAAAACATCTGACCTACTGTAATTCCAGTAGCATTCAGTCAGTTTAAAACAGATTTTCTACTTGTGGATGATGAAGTTCAGTGTTTGGCTGTTAAAAGTAATCAATAATTTAATTTCTTATACGACAGATATGACAGCAACATACTTCTAAAAAATCTGGAGACAAATTGTATAAAGACTTCTAGATCATTAACAAAATTGTCAAAAGCTGGAGACAGAGAACAGATCTATCAGCAGCATTGAGTCCAATGTGTTCAAGTTAGACAGATTTTACCAGTATGAAGAAACTCATGTTTGTCCTGTGTGCCAGGTCCTAATGTCTCTGATGCATCATTTGGAATCATTGTTGACGCTTAACCTTGCTGAATCAGTGCAGCTTCCTGATGCTCTCCTTTCCAGCTGTGCTGTTTTTTCTGTCAATGAATTCTTTTCCTGCCTTCAGTGCTGCTGGGTTTTAATAGGTTATAAATGATCCCTGTGGCTTCCGTACTGTGCTGCCCTTCTGGAGCACAGAGTCCTGCTTCTCCAGGCTTCTCATTCCCATCCCACAGTGCCTCTTCTTTGTTCGGCACCTTGACCCACCGTCTGCAAACATTCTGTGATGCCAGTGCCCTTTGCCTCTCAACCTCCACTCATTTACCTCTGAGTTTCTCGGCCATCACCATTCTCCACACTTCCCCCTCTCTTGAGTGTTAGCATTCATCTTAACTCTGTTCTGATCTCTCTCCTTCACCTCACCCGCCAGCTCTCTTGACTTATTTCTCTTTCCGGTGCCCCCATATGCTGCCACAGAGGCAGCTTTTGTTTCTGCTGGTGGTTCTCGTCTCTGGCCTGACTGGCATCACAAAGACCTGGACCTGCCCTACACGGGCCATCTGGCTCTAGAGTAATAAGACACTCGGAGACATGACATGGTTTTCAAATTGCCTCTGCAGTGAAATACAGTATAGGGTGTGCTTAATTCTAATTTGTTGCTTAGTTTCAGTAGTAAAATACACTCTCTGAAACAGAATAAATTGCACAGACTTCGAACCTTATTTATCTTCTTTTATCATTTAATCTTCTCATATTATGAATTTGCTATTACTCTCTCTAAACCAATACTGTACATCACCCTGATTGGCATACATTGTTTGTCAGAAGCTACACTGATCAGCTGTGCACCCAGCCTGATTAGTGGAATCTTTAAAAGCGAGCAAACCAATTTGTTTCATTTTTCACCCAATTTACATTGGGCCCAATTTGCACATCATAATTTATTTCAGTTTAGGGGTAATTTGAAAAGCCTCTCGTATCTCAACACGTTCAGTTAATATGGGGCCAGCTGGTCACCCCAATCTACAAAGCAGCACAGTGGCATTGCCACCTGCTCCGTCTTATCCCTCTATCCTGTATCGCTCCCCTGCTTCTCAGGCTTGCTTCTCCCACCACCCTGTCTCCTGTGCCACTGAGCTCTCTTCTCACTATCGAGACTTTGGAGCTTCATTCTGCTGAGCTCTTCTACTTCTGAAGTCTCCTGCTTGTTGGCTTTTTTCCACCCTGTTGGTGTTCCTTTCACTTCATTCTTTCTTCTGATATTTTACTGCAATTGGTGGGCTTGTCCTGCTCACTTCTTTCTTTGCTTAGCTCTGCAGAGCTGACTGACATCTGGACTTCATCCACTCCACGACAGCCAGACTCTCTCCTCTGGAAGGGCATTGTTTGTAGTTGTTCAGTTCATGTAATTGGACTATTATCCAAGTCAGTGACAGTGGTCCAATAATGCTGTACAGCACTCTGCAAAAGCTCCCACAAATGATTCATGCCTTATTTTAAAGCTTTTTTAAAGCTGCAAAGACTGATTTCCCATTTCAAGTACAGAATATTTGCTGGTGTAAATCTAACCCAGAATCACTATACTTGAACATGAGGGTGTCATTACATTCTTGTGAAAAAGTTGGGAAACTCTGAAATCCTTTAAGAAATGGTGACAGAAGATAGCAATGGTGTCTTTAAATGTGCAGCAATGTACTGAATGCCA